CGCAACATGGGCAACGAACACACAGACAAAAACCAGCGATGCCATATCACGGGCCGGCGGAATGAGCGAAGCGATTCAATTATCCTGGCGAAGGACCCGACCATACGCAGTTGTGGGTACCGCAAGTGTGAGTATCTTCTTCGGTGGAGCTCCCTGTGGGGCCACGAAGGGCTGCACTGGGTGGGCGGTAGCACAGGAGACTTCGGCAGAACTCCCTGTGGGGCAACGAAACGTGTGAGCGGTGTGCCGTAATGGGCTCGGGTATGCATGCAAGCGCTGCCACAGGAGCCTTCGGCGGAGCTCCGTGTGGGGCCGCGAAACGTGCGAGCGGTGTGCCGGAATGGGCTGGGGGACGCATGCGAGCGCTGCAACTGGAGCCTCCGGTCGAGCTCCTTGTGGGTCCACGAAACATGTGAGCAGTGTGCCAGATTAGGTTTTCGGGACGCACGCGGGCGGTGGCACTGGGACCTTCGATGGAGCTCCCTATGGGGCCACGAAACGTGTGAGGGGTGTGACAAACTAGGTTTTTGGGACTCATGCGGGGCGTGGCAATGAGGCCTTCGGTGGAGCACCCAATTGGGCCACGAAGCGTGTGAGGGTGTGTCAAATTCAATATTGGGGGTGCATGCCGGCGGTGGCATGGGGCCTTCAGTGGAGCTCCCTATGGGGCCACGAAGCGTGTGAGGGGTGTGCCCGAATTGGGCTTCCGGGACGCATGCGGGCGGTCCCACTGGGGGCTTCGGTGGAGCTCCCTATGGGGCCACGAAACGCTGTACTGGGTTGGTGAAACGCAGGAAGGAGGGAGGAGGGGGAGGAGGGGGAGGAAGGAAGGAGGAAGCGGGGACCGTCTCTTCAAAACGAAGACCGAACACCATAGCATGGTTGGGAAAAGTGATGCTGGCGAAGGGCTCAACAATATGCAGTTGTGGGGACCGCACTTGTTATTTTCTCTGGTGAAGTTCCCTATGGGGCCACGAAGCGCTGCAGGGGGTGGGGGGGGAACGCATGCGGGCGGTAGCACTGGGGCCGTCGGAGGAGTTCCTTATGGGGCCACGAAAAGCTGTATTGGGTGGGCGTACATGCCAAATTTGGTGTGTGGGACGCATGCGGGCGCGGTCCCACTGGTGGCTTCGGTGGAGCTCCCTATGGGGCCACGAAGCTCTGTGCTGTGTGTGTGAATGAAAATGCCAAATTGGGCTTCTGGGGCGCATGCGTGCGGTCCCATTGGGGCCTTCGGTGGAGCTCCACATGTGGACACTAAACGTTGTACTCGGTGAGTGAAAATGCCAAATGGGGCTTCTGGGACGCATGCGTGGGGGCTTCGGTGGAGCTCCATATGGGGCCACGAAGCGCAATATTAGGTGGGTGAAAATGCCAAATTTGGTTTCCGGGACGCATGCAGACGGTCCCACTGGGGCCTTCGGCGGAGCTCCATATGGGGCCACGAAACGCTGCTACTAGGTGGTTGAAAATTCCAAATTGAGCTTCCAGGGCGCACGCGGGCGGTCCCACTGGGGGCTTCGGGCCACGAAGCGCTGTACTCGGTGGATGTAAGTGCCGAATTGGGTTTCCGGGACGCATGCGGGCGGTCCCACTGGGGGCTTCGGTGGCGATGTACTGGGTGGGAGAAACGCAGGTAGGAGGGAGGAGGGGGATGAGGGGGAAAAAAGAAGGGGGGAGGAACGCGGGGACCGTCTTTTCAAAACGAGGACCCAACACCACAGGATGGTTGGGAAAAATTCACGCGGCCCGAAATTCTACGCTGCCTCTTCCGGGCCCACTAATCACGGGACCATCACACCTCGACCCGGCCCGAGATATCCTGGGGACACCAATGGGTCAGGGACACCTGTGGCAAAACCCGACTCTGCCTCCTGCTCCTCCTCTCCGCGGAGGGGCCGAGGATGATATGGGCCATGCCATGGGGCGGAGGCATAGTAACCCTCCGATGCGATATTCTCTCATCCGCGACCCAGAGGTCCCGACCGCTTCCCAGGAATTCGCCCCGGACCCATTTCTCATGGTTTTGGAGCCCAGTGACAGGCCCCTTGCTATTTTCGGCCTCTGAGGCCATCGTCAGGATAAAAAGCCACTCCCGTAGAATCGGTCGAAACCCAGTCGTGGTGCTGCACGTCGTGAAAATGAACGTGACGTCGGGAGTCTGGGGCTGCAGGATCTCATCCCAGATATCCGACGATATGACTTGTCCAACAAGCGTTTGTTCCTCGATCTCGGCCCTCGGAGCTTCCGGGCCCCAGGGCCATCAAGCACATGGACCGGGGGCGAAACACTCACCCCAGGGAAGCGGTCGGGCTCGAAAAGTAGCCTGGCGAAGGACCCGACCGTATGAATGCAGCTGCGAATCACTCAAGGTATGGCCACCTCCACGTGGGTGGCGCGCGCCGCGGGAAAGATGGGGCACGGGGCAAGCAGATGGGGGCCGCGAAACGTGTGAGCGGTGGGCCGACATGGGCTTGGGGACACATGCGAGTGCTGCCACAGGAGCCTTCGGCGGAGCTCCGTGTGGGGCCGCAGAACGTGCGAGCGGTGTACCGGAATATGCTGGGGCACGCTTGCGAGCGCTGCCACTGGAAGCCTTCGGTGGAGCTCCCTGTGGGGCCATCAAACGTGCGAGGGGTGTGCCGAACTTGGTTGGGGGACGCATGCGAGCGGTGCCACATGAGCCTTCGGCGAAGCTCCTTGTGGAGCCACGAAACGAGCGATGGGTTTGCCGAAATATGCTGGGGGACGCATGCGAGCGCTGCCACAGGAGCCTTCGGTGGAGCCGCTTGCGGGAACACCAAAGCGGATGGGGGACACATGAGGGAGCGCATGATGGTGGAGCTCCCTGAGGGGGCACGAGCCGTGTGAGAGGCGTGCCAGCATTGGTTGGGAGACGCATGCGAGCGCTGCCACAGGAGCCTTCGGGCCAAGTTTCCTGTGGGGCCCCGAAACGTGCGAGGGGCTTGCCGAAATAGGCTGGGGGACGCATGCGAACGCTGCCACGGGAGCCTTCGGCAGAGCTCCCTTAGGAACGAAACGTGTGAGCGGTGTGCCTTCCTGGGCTGGGGGATGCGTGTGAGCGCTGCAGCTGGAGCCTCCGGTGGAGCTCCCTGTGGGTCCACGAAACGTGTGAGCGGTGGGCCGAAATTTACTGGGGGGGCGCATGCGAGCGCTGCCACAGGAGCCTTCGGCGGAGACCCTGTGGGGCCCCGAAACGTGCTCGGGGTATGCCGGAATGGGTTGGGGGACACATGCGGGCGCTGCCACAGGAGTCTTCGGCGGAGCCGACAGTGTGGCCACGAAACGTGCGAGGGTGTGCCAGAATGGGCTGGGGGACGCATGCGAGCGCTGCCACTGGCGCCTTCGGTGAAGCGCCTTGCGGGGCCACGAAACGCGTGAATGGTGTACCGGAATGGACCAGGGGACGCATGCGAGCGCTGCCACAGGAGCATTCGGCAGAACTCCCTGTGAGGCAACAAAACATGTGAGCGGTGTGCCGTAATGGGCGAGGGTATGCATGCGAGCGCTTCCACAGGAGCCTTCGGCAGAGCTCCGTGTGGGGCCGCGAAGCGTGCGAGCGGTGTGCCGGAATGGGCTGGGGGACGCATGCGAGCGCTGCAACTGGAGCCTCCAGTTGAGCTCCTTGTGGGTCCACGAAACATGTGAGCGGTGTGCCAACTTGGGCTGGGGGATGCATGCGAGCGCTGCCACAGGAGCCTTCGGCGGAGCTCCCTGTGGGGCCACTGTACGTGTGAGTGGTGTGCCTGAGTGGGCATGCAGAGGGCAGAAGCAGGGATGGGAAGAGGGAGGGGGCAGCGGGGGGGAAGGGAAGGAGACGCGGGGCGCTATCCCTACAAGACGAGGGCCAAAGACCACAGGCCGGCCGGGAACCGTGAGATCGGCGAGTGTCAAAGCCTCAGGGGCTCTGGACTCTCCAACGATTTTCTGAATTATTGCTGGCAACTGCCCAGTGTATTCCGACAGCGCCCAGGGCGTCCCTCCTGTTCTTACCCGGGAGAGCTGGTGCATAACGGGCCTGTCCAGGGCTATTGCTACCTCGATTGGGCCTGTTCTCTATTCCCACGCATGTTTAGTATCGATATCCGAGCTCATACAGATTGCCAGAACGAGCATGGCCTAAAGTACGAAAGGACCGGTGTGATGTCCCAACGCCAGGGGGGTCCTCACACCTCCAGGACTCAAACAAACTGGGGACTTGATTGGGCGTGTGACCAGTTAGTGCATAACCTAGCTTACACAGCGTGGCAGAGAGACAGGCGGTGGGCCGAACGAAACTACAAAGCCTCGCCAAACCTAGCCGAATTCGTCGCGAATGTAGGTGGTATGTCCGCTTGGCTGCACACTTAGATTAAGCCCCTCCATGCTCACACTCAGATCGGCATGGGCCCTGACCAAGGGCACATCGTGACGCCGATGCACATCTGCTCGTGAGCCACAAGCTCGAGCCGAACAGTCAGTTCACAATCCGAAACGCCATCGCATATCGATCCTCGCCATTGCGCCCTCTTCAACAGAACACCATAGGAAATCGACACTGCCCTCGCTGTAGCAGCTGCGGTTTCAAGGAAACGCTTTCCATGAAATGGGACGGATTCGGTCTGAACTCCCGAGCTGGCTTCAACTTACCTCTCACAGAGCTCGTGCCCGAATTCTGGGTGTGACCCAGCGTGCTGAAACACTTTTCGCGTGGCTGAAACCCGAGCTGGCAGGCCATTCACAGGAAATGAGATGGGTACCGATACTGCTGCTACTAGGACCTCTCCTGGGGTACGTTCTTATCAAGATTCCGAAGCGCATCTAGCCGTGGTGACGAAGGTCTCCCCCGTGAGGCCCCAACAGACGGGAACACAGGAAGGCCATCGGTATCGGTGCATTCTTCACCTCTGTCCTTAAGAGGGGCCCCGCTCCTCTGGTGCGCAGCGGACATCGGCGAAAAGCCCGACGAAAAACAGCGCGCGCGAGTGCTCATCTGAGGCCTCCGCTGCTGTGGGAGGCGACGTCGCGGTGCGTCGGCTGGGGGCCGGGCGGGGGCAGAGAGCCAGAGGGGGGGCAGAGAGCCCGGCCGCAGAAGCGAGGAGCCACCGCGCACACTGGGAGACGGGGGGGGAGGAGGAGGGGAAGAACGACAACGGACGGGAGGAGGACGCGGAAGAGAAGGAGGTCGGAGAGGAAGGGGAGGCAGTCATGATGAGGCGCAGCAACAGCACGCTGTCCCCACCCTATACCCTGGGAGGCCGAGACACATGCACGCCTTGGCAGAATAGGTTTCGTGGGTAAGTAAGTCTGCCTGGCCCATACCGCATTTTTATCAAAATTGCGCGTGGCTCCCCATATGAGCATCTATAGCGCGTTGGCGACGACGGGCGTCATGGAGGGGGGGGGGCGGGGGGGGCGGTATGACGTAACGCCCCCCCCCCGCCGTGTGGCTCTGGCACCGCAGTCGCGCCCGCGCGTACGACGCGACGAGCGACGAACGACGACGACGACGACGACGACGCGAGCTTCATGTAGGTGGCGATCTGCCCCACTGCGCCTGTGTACACCACGACGCTCGCGAGCACAACAGCGCGCGTGTACACCACAACGCCTGCGTACACCGCAACAACCGTGTGCAACGCAGCGCCTGTGTACACCACAATGCTCGCGTACACTACAGCGCCGGTGTACATTTGTACACCGCAACAACCACGTGCAACACAGCGCCTGTGTACACCACATAGTGCTTGCGTGCACCGCGGCGCCTGTGCACGCCACGCCGCCTGTCTACACCACAACATCCGCGTGCAACGCAGCGCTGGTGTACACAACGGTTCCTGCGTGCATAGGCAAAGTAGTAGGAGCATGTATGCGAGGATCTGCTGCAGACAACTAAACGCCACGCCAGGAAACTGCTGATAATCGAATGCGACGTTCTTAACTCCTCCCTCTTCCTCCACCTCCACCTCCTCTTCCTCCTCTCTCTCCTTTTCCTCGTCCTCCTCCTTACCCCCTGTCGTGAAGGTTGGCGCTACAGCGCACGTGCGCATCTCAGCGTGCACCGCGAATGTTTATTGAATCGGTCCATTTGGTTCTCGGAAGGCCAATTTAGCTGGAGCCTCGTGGACGCAGATGGGAGGAGTTAGGGTGGTGCGGGCGGAGTCGGGGGGACTTGTAGCTTCCAGCGGCGCTCCTTTGTCCATAAGGATTTTTTGATTACTGTGGAATCCACAAGCGCTCCATTTTGTCATTCGGATTATTTCTAACATTCTAAATGCAGAAACGGTGCTGTGTTGCACACGGTTGCTGCGGTGCACACAGGCGCCGTGGTGCACACGGGCACTGCAATGCACACAAGCATTGTGGTGTACATTGGTGCTGTGTTGCACATGGCTGATTTGGTGTACGCAGGCGCTGTGGTGTACACAAGCGCTGTGGTGCCCAGAGGCACGGTGGCATAAACTGACGCTGTGTTGCACGCGGTTGCTGTGGTGTACATACGCGGTGTGGTGTACACAGGCGCTGTGGTGCACGAAGGCACTGTGGTGTACACAGGCGGTGTGGTGCAGATCGCCACCTAAATGCTGATGCTACCCGTCCTTCGCCATTCTTGGGTATTCCCAGACGCCGCCGGCGCGAAACGTGACGTCATCGACCCCCTCCACCCCCCCCTGATGATTGCCGTCGTCGGCCTGGAATGAAAAACAGGCTCCAGCCGCGTCCGCGCGCACGACGGCGATGAGCGACTAGCGACGATATTCGGATTCCTACACGGACACCCAGGCGGATCCCAATGCGTACGGCGGCAGCGCCCGTGCCCGGACCGCACTGGGGGGGGGGGACGGGGCGGGGGCGTTACGTCATAGGGGGGTGTGGGGGGGAGCGGGGGCCATGACGTCCGTCATGCCCCAAGCAATAAAGACATGGGTTCCTATTAGCATGGACCTGTCCGCCGTGACGCAAGAGTTTTCAAATACAAGCGGGCTTGAGTATTGACGGTGTGGGAGCGACTCTAACTGTGAATGAGTTGGAGTGTGAGTGAGTCTCAATAATACGAGCGCGTCTCGGCGCATGAGCCTGGGGCGTCATGGGGCCTCCTGAAACCTCCTGGGGTTTCCTGGGGCCTCCTGGGGCCTCCTCTTGGGGCCTCCTGGGGCATCGTGTGGCCTCGTGTGGCCTCTTGAAGCCTCCTGGGGAGACTTCGTGTCCCAGGAGACGCCCAATCTAGAGGAACAGACGTGCATAAAACACTGTGGATTGCAGCCGCAGGAAAAGGGCAAAATGTAGGAACACATGTAAAAAACAATGGCTCGTGCATTGGAGCCACTCCTGTGCTCTTTTGAAGCCTCCTGCTCCTGGGGCCTCTTGGGACCTGCTGGTGCCTTCTGGGGCCTCCTGGTGCCTCCTGGCGTTTCCTGTGGCCTCCTGTGGCTCCCTGTGGCCTCCTGGAGCATCCTGGAGCCTCCTGATGCTTCCTGAAGCTTCCTGGGGCCTCCTGGAGCCTCTTGGGGCATCCTGTGGTCCCTTGAATCTTCCTCTGGCCTCCTGCTGCCTCCTGGGATGTCATGTTGCCTCCAGGGGCCCCCGAGAGCCTGCTGGAGCCTCCTGCGGCATCCTGGAGAGGATCCGTGCCCACTGGTCTGGCCACCCAGGCAGGCAAACCGATCGACCATCCTCAACATCTGGCCCCACGTGGGGGCGAACATGAACGCCTCGCTCGAGGCATCCCCAACATCTGCTCCGAAAGCAGAGGATGTTGATCTAGGAAACAAGCAAGCCGGTCGAGGCATCGTCAACTTCAGGCCCAACTTGGGGGCGAACATGAGCGCCTCGCTCGAGACATCCTTCAAATCTGCTCCGAAATCGGAGGATGTTGCGGCATCGAAGTAGGCAAACCGGTCGAGACATCCCCGCCATTTTGGCGCGAACGGAAGCCGTGCAATACCTTCTGGCGGCTCCCCCTTGGGGGTGCTGAAACTCACGCCTCGCTCGAGACATCCTCGAACCTGGCCACCAAAACAGGCTGGCCGCTCGAGACATCCTCAACATCTGGCCCCACTTGGGGGCGAAAATGAACGCCTCGCTCGAGACATCCTCCAACTCCGCTTCGAAGGCGGAAGATGTTGAGACAGGACACAGGCAAACCGCTCTAGACATTCCCGCCGTTTTGACGCGAACAAAGGAGTGCGATACCCCCTGGCGGCCCCCGTTTGGGGGTGCTGCAGCCCGCGTCTCGCTCGAGACATCCTCAGAATTTGCTCCGCCACCATCATCATCATCATCATCATCATCATCATCATCATCATCATCATCATCATCATCATCATCACCACCATCATCAGCATCATCATCATCAACAACATAAGCCTGGGTATGAACACATCTGCGTATGATGGAATCTAAACAGGGGGAGTTGCGGAAGAGATAAGATGAGAAGAGTGAGTATGAGGTGCCTCCGTAAGTAGTTTTTCATTGCGTGGAGCTCCCAAATGTGCATCTATTAGCATGGCCCTGTCCGCCGTGAGCGTCTAGGCGCGAAAGTTTCGGAACATAAGCGGGTATCGGCGGTCTGGGAGTGAATCGAACTGAACGAGTTGGAGCGTGCACGAGTCTCAATAATACGAGCGCGCCTCTGCGCATGTGCCTGGGGACTCCTGGAGCCTCCTGTAACATCCTGGGGGCTCCTGGGGTCTCCTGGAGCCTCCTGGGGCCTCCTGGGGCCTATTCGGGTTTCCTGTGGCCTCCTGAAGCCTCCTGGTGCCTCGTGGAGCCTCGTGTGGCCTCCTGGGGCCTCCTAGAGCCTCCTGGGGCCTCCTGTGGTATCCTGATATATCCTGATACATCCTGGTACCTCCTGTGCGTCCCGGAACCTTCTGGAGCCTCTTGTGGCATCCGGAAGAAGATCCGTGCCCACAGGTCTGGCCAGCAGAATAAGCAAACCGCTCCAGACATCCTCACATCTGCCCTCCCTTGGGGGCGACAATGAGCGACTCGCTCGAGGCATCCTCCAAATCTGCTCAGAAAGCGAAGGATGTTGGGGCACCGAGACAGGCAAACCGCCTGAGACATCCCCACAATCTGGGCGCGAACCGAGGCCGTGCAATACCCCTGGTGCTCCCCCCCCCCGAGGAGCGCGAAAACCAGCAAACCGCCTGAGGCATCTTCAGAAGTTACTCCGAAAGCGAATGATGTTGGCGCCGAAACAAGCAAACCGCCCGAGGCATTCCCGCAATGTGGCCGCGAACAGAGGCCGTGCAATACCCCTGGCAGCCGCCGCTTAGGAGTTTGAAGCCCGCGCCTGGCTCGAGAAATTCTCAGAAATTGCTCCGCCATCATCATCATCAGCATCATCAGCAGCATCATCACCAACATTATAATCATCATCGGCAGCATCAGCATCAGCATCAGCAGCACCACCATCATCCTCATCATCATTATCATCAACATCAAAAACATCCTCAACATCACCGTTACAGGACCATTTACAACACCCGAACATAACATACCATAACCTAAACAGCATACCATAGCATATTACCAGGGAACCGAGGGGAGGGGAGGAGGAGGTGTGAAGGGAAGGTCCGCGCGGCCACAATAATTATTAAGTGCGTGGGGCTCCCCAGATGCGCATCTATTAGCATGGGCCTGTCCGCCGTGAGTGTCTACGCGCAAGAGTTTTCGAATATTCACGGGCTTGAGTATTGACAGCCTGGGAGTGAATCTAATTGTGAATGAGTTGGGGTGTGAATGAGTCTGAGTAGTACGAGCGCGTCTCTGCACATGAGCCTGGGGCGTCCTGGGGCCTCCTGAAAACCCCTGGGGTTTCCTGGAGCCTCCTGGGGCCTCGCGCGGCCTCCTGGAGCATTCTAGGGAGGCCTCCCAGCCTAGGGAGCCCCTGCATACGTACATAAGCATCTACATAACATTGCGGAATATATATATATATATATATATATATATATATATATATATATATATATATATATATATATATATATATATATGTATATATCATATATATATATATATATAGATAT